TTATTTAAGCAGTATTTTAAATGTTAATATTATTGAATTTTATTTGGCCAGGGCGGCTTGTTTTATAGTGTATGTTTTATATTATATATTTGTATTTTATTGTATATATTTTAAAATGTTATTTTAATTTTTTGTTGTAAGCCGCCCCGAGGCTTCGGCGAATGGGGCGGCATAAAAATGTTTTAATAAATAATAAATAAATGAATGAATTTCTTGAGTGTGCACAGAGTGGGTCACTGAGCCCAATCTAGTGTTTACTTCTAGGAGCTCTCCTTTTGAGAATGTTTGGGCCCCATCCTTTTGGAAGGGACCTTTTGGAAATGAGCACACCTCCCTTCTGCATGCTGACCCTCTAACTGGTTAGCCCTCCTTTCCCGATGTTGCATCATGGGGTTGAGAGCCATACCCACTTCATTTGTCTCCAAGAAACTCCCCTGTTCCAAACCCCCTCCTAAAGCTGTACATCTTGGTTATTCTCAGAAGCTGCCTGCCCATCTGGGGAGTCTGGCCTTGAGATATGCGCCCCTATGTCTCTCATCTCAGCACCTGGAACAGGCCACATTACAACCTCCACCCCCCCCCCCCACGGAGTCCCAATCAGTATGCCCTGGGAATGTGTGCCAAGGGCAACTGCCCCTCTCAGTCCCAACAGCTATTTTTATCTTTATTGCATAATTCCAGTGGAGTGTTCCTCTAGGTTTATTTTTTTAAAATAAAAAATATAGATTCCAAAGAATGAGTCCATGCTGCAGGGACATTGTCCCATTTTAACACGCATTTAGAATTGGTCAGCTGAAATCTCTGACTTTCTGTTCCTGTAATTATTTATATATACTGAGAAAGAACATTATATGCACTTAAGTATCTCCTATAAATATTTGCCTGTTCCTGTACAAATATACAAACTGTGTATTATAACCATTTTTATAGCAAGTCTGCTCCACAAACTCCTTTATAATCCTTATTTTCTCTTTCCTTACAACTCTACTGTGAAATAGTGTCTTCTTGGACTCCCAAGATATACTGGCCTCCTTAAAGCATTTAGTGAGTTGAGAACAGGAAATTGATTCCCAACTAAACCTAATTTCTAGTCTCTAGATCACACTGCTTCTACCTGTCAACCAGAATGGAATGCTCATTCTTTCTCTCATGTTTGGAATCTAAATTAATCAAATAAATGATATTTCCAACCTTTCCTCACCAGTGCTACTGAGGAGGCTTAAGTCACAATCCATCTCCTAGTCTTTAAAACTGCCAGCAGATCTATTGCTTGCATTGCAATTGACAGATCTAGAAGTTGTTATCATAGGGAAAAGAATATTCTCATTGTGACATTAAATTTAGAAGCTGTAGCAGCAGTCCTGTAACTTTCTGGCCAAGTTTGTCAGCAGTACAGACTGAGCGCTGTTACAGTGGAGTGGAAAGGAATTTGCATGTGTGGCTGCAGTGCTGGCCCCAAGTTTTTGAGGGCACATGGACAAGACATTCTCAGTAGGTCCTTCTCCTTCAGTGAGTCTATCTTTTCAGCAGCACTATCACCTGCTGCTCTTCCCCATGTATGCTGCCAGGTCCAAAGGCTCTTGGTTAGTGGATCCTCTTCTGTGATGTGGGTCTCAGCAGCTATCCAAGCAATGTTGACTCTTAACGAAGACCCTATGTGGTTGTCTGGCTTCTGTATAAGTATTTGCTTCCTGTTAACAGGGTTGTGGGGCTCCCAGCTAGCCACAGGAGATGATGGAACCTCTCCCCGGATTCAGTCTGGAGGTGTTTTCAAAGTTCTTTGCACACAAAATACTAACAGGAAGCTTTATTACCTTGTATTCAAGAGGTTAATACCACTGAGGGGTAACAACAACAAACAGTTGCAATCTAATACTCTTTATATGCATTTGGCATGCCTCCTTTACACTGATTAGTTAATAGTTTAACTGCAGATGTAACTTACTTCTTTTGCCTACTTAGGATAAAAAATCATATTTTTGTTCTTATTTTGGAAGACAATAAACATATACACTGTTGCTCTGGAACACAAGATACATTTACATTTCCAGTTAGAACATAAATAATATTTACATTTCCTGATAGCCATTTCACCTTTATCTCAAAGACACTTTGTAACCTCTTTCTCATCTACTGACACAATGACCATGCACACTCATTTACATTCTCTCTGCTCTGACAGACACTCTTTTATTAACCTCTTTCTCATCACACAGAAAAGCAATGGGATGCCTGTGTGCTTATTAAGAAATTATGTGTACAACTCCCATTTGTTCTCCTTTTTTGTAGTTCTTGCAGAAAAACTAGCTTGGTAAGGGAGCAGCTCCTGCAGTACCCATTATTCCCTTAGCAGGATTTCCAGAGCTGCTAGCCCTGTGTGGGCAGGATTTTCCCTACAGGCTGCCGGTTTATGCTTCTTAATCAAGTCAAATACATGATCTGTTAACAAATATAAATCTTAACTCAAGCTTCTGCTTTCACTCCACCTTTTCCTAAAACAGGCAATTTTTGCAATGGCCACTTATTTAAAAACATGGTGCTGTCACCAGGCACGAATGCAGCTCACTGGTGTTTTATACTGCAATGTACCACTGCCTTCCGAGTAGCTGAAAAGGGCAGCTGACATTACAACAGAATTTGTTTGAGTAATTTCACTAGAACTGCATGAACAGCAGTGTACAAAGTCTCAGTGTCAGTTACGTTATTCATACCTCTGTACTGCAGTGACCAATTCTTTTTCTTTCTTCTTCTGACACACCAGCTGGAGTTCTTTGTCTTTACATTGTACATTGGACTCTTCAAGATCCCTCTCTAGCTCAGCCACAGTTGCTTTCAGCTGCCTGTTCTTTTCTTCAAGAACCTGCAGCTACAGAACAATGAAAAATTAAATGTGGAGACAGGCTTACCACACATCAGGGATAATCAGTCTCTGCATTAGCACAGTTCTAATTAAGTAAAAGGCAGGAACTATCCATGTTTCCTCAAGTCTAACTAAGGCAGATCCAAAAGAAATGGTTTGCACTGGAGTGTTGGTCCTAAAAGCAAGCAAATCAACATGAAGGGATGGAGAATGGTTATATTAAATCCTTCAGCATGTATTATAAATTGTTTGCTAATATTGGGAGTAGAAAAGGTTTAACTTTATTAGTAAATATAGCATGCTCAATATTTGGGGGAACACAGCTTTCCTTAAGAGCAAAAAAAATGTCCTATTTCACTTACTATGGGCATTCATGTTTATTCAAAATAGGAGCCAATGGGAAACTGCTCATCGTGCTAAACACAACACTGGAATAAGCAATGATGGGGTTGTTATTGTATGAATGACTCACAGTTCATTTGACAGACAATCAAGCTCACGATGAGTTGTTTTTCCCTTCAGTCCTCCAGC